CTGCCCCTCATCCCTTACCATATATAAACTGTAACCCGTCCCTAATAAACTGAGGCCTTGACAAAGTTGCTTGGCCTCGTTCTTCTGTCTTAGCTCACTCCCTTCCAGGTAGCGCCCCTCCGAGACCCTGGAATAACTTGATTGCGGGTGGGTTACTAACCCCTAGACTGAGTAGCCCACCAAACGCAATCCACAATATACAATAAGAACAGATATCAAGTATAAAAATTAGAATTATAACCAGTATAAACAACATTAAGCAACAAACATATGCTAAAGGTTTCAATAACTATTCTAGCCTAAGGGGTGTAAGTTTTGAATTAGAAATGGCTTGAATAAATCATAAGAGGAAAATAACTATGACTATCTAATTTTTAACCCCATTGAAAGCCTGAGAAGGGATATAATATTTCTTGAACAGGCAGGAAGTGCAATCAAGCAGTTTCCAAAATAGGCAGTAGATGACAGAGAAACTGGCTACCTAGGCAATCACCCAAAATCTCTTTTGCAATGCTGAAGCCACCAACTTTGGCTAAGGCCTAGAGTAACTGACAAACCATTTTTATAGGAAGAAGATTGTCAAAACCATCTTATTCTGTCTTGGCAAGGTTTGGCATTTTTTTTTCTTGTATCCTGTTTATCCGGTCCAATCACTGTGCATTTTGTCAGTAGTTGAGACATGGGCAGTTCCTTGCCCAAAGGACAGTTTTTCCAAGAAGAAAACAAACTCCAGATGGAGTGTCTTTGGTGCTCAACATTCTCTCAGGAATAGATCAGTACTGACAGGAGCAATCGTGTCTCACATCAATAGAACCCTAAGTTATTTAAATGCCATATTCTACAGTTCTTTGAAGTGGCTAAATATTACCTATCCATGCAGAATACAATCTCTATGTATCTAAAGAGGCAATTAGATATAAGTATGACAAATATGGATGACTATTGACCTATAATACTTAATATTTGTATAACTTAGAGACTAAGACTTCATATTAGAATACCAAATAATCTTTAAACAACTGTGCAGCAAATGAGGACAATGACTTAAAAATGTAAACAATGTGTAAGTATCTTGATCTGAGATAGAAATATATAACACAATATGATAAATATATCCTAAATTGTATCAATATACAAAATATCTTAATCAGATGTATGATGGAGGAGGGTCATCTGTCTATCTGTTGCTTTCATTGGTTAATTAATAAAGAAACTGCTTGGCCTGATAGGTCAGAACATAGGTGGGTGGAGTAGACAGAACAGAATGTTAGGAAGAAGGGAAGTGAGGCATATGCCATAGCTCTCCTCTCTGAGATGTATGCAGGTTAGAATCTTCCCGGTTGGGGGCGGGA